AAGGTCAGGGAGGGCCTCAGAGCCTATTCGATACAGGAAGTTTGGGTAGTTGCGTCCGAACCGCATCACGCCACTTTTGTTGACAGATAGTTGGAGACCCATCCTCGTTGACCAGGCATGAAAGTTGTCCAGAACGTTCTGAAGGCCAAGACAGTCGTCATAACCATCAATGGTTCGGACTAGTTTGATGTCGTCAGCAAATTTGCAGAAGTTGACTTCATTGCGTAGGATGAACTTGACCTGGTCCACGAAGAAAAGAAACAGAAGATTTCCGAGTACAGTTCCTTGGGGGCAGCCAGTAGTTACAGAGCCAACATCAGATAGGCAGTCATTCACCTTGACTTGAAATGATCTATCACGTGAGAAATCGGAGATCCATCTGACCACCCGAGTACCAACCCCTTCTAAAAAAATCGTGTTTGTTTTTTTCAGTTTCTAATACTGAAGCAAGGAAGATTAAGACTCGCAATGGTGGAAATTCTTGTAACGAATAGGGAGTTGATAAAGGTGGTGATGCTCTGCGAGCAAAACGTGGATGCCTGCGTCAACGAATTGTAAACGAGGCATCTGATTCCTGCTCCCGAGGAACTCAAGCTCCACTACCGAAAAACCTTTCTGGCGCGATTCCAGGCCAAGCAGAGAGCCGTCAAGCACAGATACGACATCTTCGATCAGAAGTTCTGCGGTCGCCCCCTGGTGCCCTCAGCGGATCCATCTTCTCAAGAGAACGGAATTGGATCACACCGTGTTCCGTTTGTTGCAAGCTGAATCGCGAGAGGAGCTCTCACAGCTCCCGGAAGAGCTGACTCTGTTGTCTAAGCGGGGCTGCGATGGCTCTCCCGGCCATAGCGAGTACCAACAAGCCTTCTCGGAGGAAGGTCTCTCCGACTCAAGCGTATTCTTGACATGTCTCGCACCCTTGGAGCTCGAGGATTGGAACGGGGGTCTTGCGTGGAAGAACCTCAAACCGTCATCAACGAGGCTGTGCACACCACTAAGGTTTGTTTTCGCTATAGAGACACCGCCGTTAATCCGCGAAGGAATGAGCAAGACAAGGAGTGAGATCGAGAAGTTGTCGCCCTCGACAGTTGAACTTTTCGGTCGTTCGTTCCGCGTGAATCACGTCCTGATGCTCACCTAGAGCGACGGACAAGTTGCCGATGTTTTGAGTGGTGTGAATGCGATGACCAATTGTTTCATTTGTCGCGCGACCCCCAAACGAACGATGATTGAGAGCGCGACCGCGGATGAAGTTGATAACCTTTACAGACAAGCTCAGGACTTCATTCAATTCCGGCGGCAACGTTTTTGCTGCCAGAGCACGCCGATGCAGGAAGCAATGGGTGATTTGCAAGCCTGGAATTTCTTGTTTCATTAAAGCACAGAACCCGGATCTGTTGCCAAGCATCGCCGGCGCACCGTCCGTACAAATGGATCCGATGATGCCTAAATCCAGGCTCTTACTTTCGAAGAACTCTTTCACGACTCGCCTGAAATCCTTCGCGGTAGTCGTTGTATCGAGAGTTCGGCAGAACAACAAATCTTCTCGTATAGATCCATTCTTTTCATACCTAACGAAAACGAGTAGCTGGCTGCAACTGGAGACATCGGTAGATTCGTCCAACTGTAGGGAGATTTTCGAGGGAGTTTCCTTTAGATCAGTGACAATTTGATCCAAGATATCCTCGCTCATGTCATTTATCCTTTCGCGAACTATGTTGTTCGACATAGGAACTTTCTCTTAATTTCTCACGAATCTCTTTTCCGATCAAGGTCTCCGCCATCTGCAAGAACAGTGGCTTAATCAATTTTCTCCGATGGTATGCGCTTTCTTCTGCTTGGCAATCACGCGAGCAGCTTGATAAGAAGCGGTCAGAATTGGTTCCTCAACCAAGCACGATTGACGCTTCATGCTCGGCAGTGTGCCGCGTGAATCAAAGCGGGCTCGCTTGATTCTCAGCGATTCCAAATCGTTGCCTTCAGATTTCTCTCCTCCGTGCTTGAGAAAGTGGGGTTCGAGCTTCGAAGGCTTCAAACTCGTGTTCGCAAAAACGGTGCTGCAGAGAACGCATTGAGCCTTCGGTAACAAGTCTTTACCCATCACTAGGGCTAGGCGTTTGTGGCGGACTTTTTCGGGAATATCGCGGACCTGTGGCGGATCTCCCCAGCAAAAATCGCGGACTTATGGCGGATGCTTTGTCGACGACTCGCGCTAACTCGGGAGAAAGACTGGGGCAGCTTCATGGCTCCGAACAAGCAAAACGAAAGCTCATGTTTGTCTGCTGTCGTCAATTACCTTATGCTGCCTAGGAGGCTTGAAGCTAGGACCAGAACTCACATTTCGTCACTGTTATGATTGAGCATATTGTACATGCTGAGATTTTTACTTTTTATACTACGTCTATCATCTCGAAGAACAGTCGCGCATTTCCTGGAAGATCTCTCAGCCGAAACACTGTTGCCGGGTACACTCAGACAAGTCAGAGCGATCTTCGCCAATTCGGGAAAACGAGCCGTCACATTTATCCGCAAAAGTATCGGATGAGACGAAGCCTCGAATTTTCTCTTGGCCGACAAGTATAGTCGGAGTTCAGCCTTCCCCGGATCGTTTTCCTCGAACCCCAGTATATTTTCGATGACGTAGCCGGCTTCGATCTCGATTGTTTTCAACTTCGCGGGATCGAATACGCGACAGGCGCGGAAGAAGTTCGCAGCGGATAAGGATATCTCGCCATCGATGGTTCCCTTGGAATCTATCGAACGGGATGCGGGGTCTGTCACGGGAGGAGTCAAACTGACCATGTTTATCCCGTGAAAAGGACTCCGAAATTCGCGGAAGGTGAACATTCCGGCCGAAAATCGCGGACTCCATGGCGGATGTGGCGGCCGCCACAAACGCCTAGCCCTACCCATCACCAAAGTGAAACCAAATCGTACGTAGTCATCACTCCAGTTCCTCTTCTTCGAAATTGTCTCTTCTGTGTTCAGTTCACTCAAAGAGTTTCCAATTGCTCGGTGAGCTGGACAAGAAGCAACACCGGAGACCTTGGAACAACAAAGAGTGAATCGATGACCCTCTTTGGATGAAGCAGCTCTGATAGCAGATCTCCAACTCGAGGATTCCTAATTTATTTGAACGGCTTCCTGGAACTGAGGAACCTTCTCGCGAGGGTGACGGTATTCTTCGAAGGTTTGAGACACTTGTGAACTCGTAAGGTCGCGGGATGCGAAATGCGAAGCGAATGACGGAATAGCTCGAAGGATTCCGAGGTTCGACTTCAAGCAGCTGGATTCTCCCTGGCATTGTTCCCGTCAACATCGTTTTAAGCGTCGGAATGAGGGAACGATATTCCGTCGCCTAAGGCTCCCATATCGGCGGCGAGGAGCGGATTCCTCATTGCGCGGTCCATATGCCTTTTCAAATCGCTCAGTTTTGGAGGCTTGACTGACCCAGAAAACAAATCTCGCGGCATGACTGGCAAGGTCTTCTCCAAGAACTCCGAGGATACTTCCGAGAATACTTCCCTATGTAAAACCTCATAGGATAATCATACGACGTTTCCGGGACCCACTGAGACGGATCTCGGGACCCCGGTTGGGAACCCTTGCTCTATCGGGATCCCGAGACAAGACTCTGCATTGGTGTAAAGGCCACCGAGGACGGGCTCTTCCCCCCCTGACTCAAGAAAAATTCTTCTGTGAGAAGCCTCACAGTAAGTCCATGCGGCCCTTCTAGGTGTATCCCTGTTCCCGATGTAGGAACTGATGTGAGGCATCAGTAGGGCTGTGAGAAAGTCGCGGAGGTCGCGGAGGTCGCGGAAACCGCGATTTCTGGTGATTTCGGCTGATTTCCGCGATAAACGTGAAATTTTCCGCGACTTCCGCGACCTCTATTTTCCGAAGGAAAGAGGTGAATTTATGGAGTTTCGTCGATGACAGCCTTATCGCTAACGCTTTCTTATAACTCCCCCTCGATCAGGGAGCTCTGGCGGAACAGAATCAGCTCGAAACCGTGATCTCCGTCGACCAGGGTGCGGTCTCCCGGCTATACACAGATGTACATGCCGTTTCGCTTCCGATGGGCGGCATTCGAATTCCTCCGCTGGTAAATGATTACCCTTCCCGAGGGAAGCCTACACCAAGCGTCAGCCTGTGTTACACCAACTGTCAACATGCATGTAAAGTGTTACACCAACGTCTACATGCTTCCGCCTGGTGAAACACGTGCCGCGCTCGGTCAGGTCCGAGAATGTTTTCGTCCAAAAAGTTGCCGAAGAAAATGACTCCTCAAAAGAGAGCAAAACAGTTCGACCCAGGAGTTTTCCATGTGTCGGGTTACCATCTTTTCCACAGTAGCTGCAACGTTCCCGTAGATTATATGCGAATGAGCTCGTGCAGGAAGCACCTGGCCAGCGCTGTTCCTTCGCGAAAAGCAGAGGGTAAGGTTGACTCCAACGACAAGAAACGGAAACTTCAAGAAACTGTCTCCTACTTGTTCGAGAAGCAAACCGACCAGAGAATGCAACGGAGAGTGGAGCTCATGAGTCTTGTGAAGGGGTTCTGCGGTGCTAACATCCCACTCAACGTAATCGATAGGCCTGCTCTCAAATCTTACCTCAAGGCTAATTTATCAGGGATTGGTTCGACTCCAACGTCAAGGAACCTGCGACAGTACTACCTTCCGAAAATTTTCGAACTACATTTGAAGGAACTGAAAACTTTACTTAGAAACGCCTCGTCTATTGCTCTAGTCTGCGACGAGAGTACGGACCCTGAAGATCGGTATATCTTCAACTTGCTCGCCGTTGATTGTTCGGAAAGTTCACCGTCTCAGCCTGGACACAAGCTATGAGACTTGCTTCTGAATTCGGTGGTTCTAGAGTCAACGAACCACAAAACCATGAGCGGAACTGTTCTCAAGGAGCTTTACAAGTACGAGATCAGAGGCACTCCCTACAGTCCCCGTCTCAACCAGGTGGAACACTTGCTTTCGAGCCACGATGTACCACGAGTCGCATCTGGACGATTATATTACCTTCTTCAAGGAGGAAGCTGAGGCGAGTTCCAGCCTTACGGTCTCAAATATAATCAGCTTGAGCAGCTGTCGCATGATCGAAGCCGATCTCACAAGCCTCAAGAAATACGCGCCACATCTCATGAGCATCTTAAGGGAGTACGAGACCAGCTCTGTCAAAGCCCACCTTCTCATTCGAGAGCTGAAGTTGCTCGCTGAATGGCTCGAAATATCGGCATCAGCAGACGATCACCAAAGCGGCAAAACGGCTTTACAGAGATCTCTGGTGAACTTGAATTCCTATATCTCGGAGCAGCCGACAACTCGTTTCAACCAACCAGCGACGAAATTCTTCAACTCTTGCCAGATTTTCGATGTTTCCTATGCTCAGATCGCAAACGTGGATCCGGAAGTTGTATTCGATAGCATCCCTTGGTTTGACGACGACACTTTGGCAAAAGCTGAACTTGAATTGTACTTGTCATCCACGGACGAGCTCAGCTCCGATGGCCATCCTGTAGATTTTCGGCGCGCGGCCGAGAAACGATTCCCGAAGCTACCCCGAATAGAAATTTCTTGTTTGAGCGTTCCTGTCAATAGCGTGGCTGCGGAGAGATCGTCCAGCTTGTACTCAGCCGTGCTGAGGGACGATCGACGCAGTATCCATGAGGCAAATCTACCTATTTATAATATGCTTTACCAAAACTCCTCGAACATTTAGGAGTTGTGGACGCACGCTGACAATTCGTACATGCCTTCAACCTTCTGGGCGTGCTGTGGATGTTTTAACGGTGTTTGTGGAGCGCTAGGTAAATAAGCTAAGATATTCGACCTTGCAGTTCATGTTGTCGTCAGGGAGGCTGAAAGTGGCAATTGTGGAGCGGACAGCAAATAAAGATCTGACGAGAAGGAGACTGAGAACGTACGGGCGATTCGCCAATCATCCCGCGCATTTTCCTTCAGAATCAGCTCAATCTTGGTTCTGTGAGCTCTGCGTGGGTCCTTGCCCCGATCTTAACCCGGGCAGCACATGCGGACTCGACTAGACCGCATGAATATCTGGTGACATGTTGTAGCTACGCCTACCAGTCTCAATCTCACTCTACCGTGACAATTCTGAGCATCGAAACCGACTCTGTGATCTGAGAACTTCTTGCCGCGACCGTCCGCGATTTCGGCCATTTTTTTCCGCGAAAAATTTACACCCATGCTTCATGAGATGCTTCATGCCGCATGAAGCATCTCACTCTATATCAGACCTATCGTCTGAGGCTTGTTTCAATGCACGATTGGCTGGGAAATCTGAGATCTCATCTTAAATCTACCCACGCTTGGAGCCAGAGGCATTGAACCCTATGGCTCCCTGATTGAGTCAATCACACTTCAGATCGACCGAAAGAGAAGTGCACTTTCTCTTTCCTTGACTGTAAAATCAATGGTACAATCAATCGGGCCGATCCCAGACAGAGTCCAGTGGAGCCATTGAGTAACGTCGACGATCTCTTCGCAGAGATAATCTGCCGCGCAAACCGAAGAAGTTGCTCGCTCGAAAGACAATTTTGAACCCCTTGTCAAAGCGAGACGGGGATCCATCGGTTGACTTCGGTTTAGAGGTGGGCAGCCAGCAGGGTTCGCGTCGACCACCGAGCCCTGCGGATTCTCCGGTACCATTCATGATATCCTACCTCTTTCAAAACGTGTACCCTGCGAGGGGGCTTTCGAGAGGGCCGAGCTGGGAAGCATCCTTATAGCGAATGTCTGATTCTAGCAAGTAATGGTCGAGAAGAACATGCTGGGTCAGGAAGCGCTAGAATCGCTCATTCGAAAGCTGGAAAGGGGTGCTCAACGAGTACGGAGTACTCTCTCGGAAAGGTACAGCAAGACAGGGCTGCTTCCTCGTTCCAATGGAGGAGCTCGTGGAATATGTCCGATGTTCGGAAAAATCCTTTTTTCACGGCCGCGATACGCCGCGGCGGCGCCTCGCGGAGCCGCACTGGATCCCTACGGGCCGGTCTGAGACGCACCGTCCCGTTCCGGCCGTACGCCGCACAAAAGCGAAATGCCTATCTACCATGGAATGCTTCCTCCACGTCGCGTACAACCAAGATTTCAAACATTGGAGGGTCGACCTGGAGACTATGAAGTCAGCTGCGCGAGCTGCGCGAAGCTCGTGAGAAAATGATTTAGAAAGAGATATATGATCAAGTAGGTTTCTGGGCGGATGTCGTTAAAGCTGGATTCGGATCGACCAATGACGGTACAGTAAAAGCTCGTTACTACGAACACGAAGGGACCGACGAAACTGGTTCGTTGCACCGAAATTTCGCTGTAACGAATGCCACTCAACACTATCCCTATCGCGAGCTGGCCAAAGCAGGAGAAATTCCTTGTTCGTTGTACCGAGAAATTCGCTGTAATGGGGGTCGTTATAACGAGCTTTTACTGTATCGACATGATCCACATCAGGCTGGAATACTCCGATCCCTTCATGGACAGCATCCGCGCAAAGAGGAATAAGAGAAAACTACAATGGATTGAGGATGTTTCTGCTTCTTTGATGAGCTCTCAGCCGGTTGAGCAAAACATCTCTCATATATGTATGTACATATGTATTGTACCTCTTGAATAAGTCGCTGACGCGTAGCTGAGAGCTCTGCGAAAGATCAGACAATTTTGATCTTTCCCTCATCGGAGAAGTAACTTCTCTGAAATCCTTTCGTTCTTCGGTAATTGGGAGCTTCCTCCTGATGAGGAGAGGCCTGAGACTCACGATCCTGGAGACTCTATGCTCGAGTCTTTCACGAATGATCGTGGAGTAGCCAGGGGAAGGCATGAAGAAGAGATTTCACTCTGCCGTTCGGGACTCACGGTACTTCGAATGCTGGGGACCCGACACGAAATCCGAACGATTCTGTGTTCTGCCGGGAAGAGGGGGAGGGGGAACAATTCTTCGATAGTTTCCGAGTCCATCGTATTATGATCGAGGCTGAGGGGTTTCCTCGCTCGAATTTCGGCAGATTTCGTCGAGTCGTCTTGGAATTTTCAGTTTTTTCCGCTCGAAGCCTTCTCTGAACCACTGTGCAGCCTCCTGAGGATGCTTCGACTTCGAGGGATATTAGAGACGGCGGGATCTCATGGACTCATTCGGCAAGACCTGGAGACAAGTGAGATAGAGAGGTGCTGTCTCTTTTCTGTTGGTCTCGACCGCAATGGAGCCGAACTTCAGGAACATCTCGGAATAACGGCGCGTGTTTTCTTTCCCTCGGGTTGCTCATTGCGGAACGCCCGAGAGACGGCTCGCAATCCTGATTACCTGCACGAGAGTGATTTCAGACACGGTGGGTAAGCACACACAGTGTGAGAACCACAGTTCTCATCTCGACTTATGGCGTTCGCAGTCAGAATCAATAAATACCGACGCGGATAGGACTGAAAAATCCAGTCTGTGTTCGGACGTTACAAGGAAGTGCACTCTCCCTGGAATAGCGGCTATAACAAACAGAACCGATCGCGCTTATAACCAAGGGAAGAACTCGGCGCAATATTCACTAAAGAGCCTTTATAATGATTTCTCTCATTTGTCACCACCCACCGCATCGACTTCCGAAAGCATTCGAAGAATTTGAACAGGCCGCGCTGCGAAACATCAACCTTGAGCGAAAGTAGAACGCGGATGTCGAATCTCGAAAGTCCGCGCTTCACACTTACGTCTATACAAGTCGTGCGGACGAGCAAGAAGCGTGAGAAGCATCTCCTTATCCACGAATTCTCGGTCGGAGGAGTCCTCGCCCGAATCCACATTCCGATGCATTTCGTTATGAGTCCCGAATCGATAGTACGAAAGAGTACAGAAGTCCCGTGACCCACTGGGAAATCGCCGTGACCCACCGGTGGGCCACTTCCCCGCTCTTGGGAAACACTGTCCGATAGTCTATAGTATGTTCATGAAAATCACGAGACTTGGCAGCGTCGTGTCGAACGCCCTACGCCACGCGGACGGAGCGTTTTCCCTGAACTGCTCCCACATGACTCGGAAATGTCGAATGGAAAACAGAATAGCCCGGGGGACTCGAATCGTCCAAGCTGACCTCGGGCTCCATCCGGGCTCGCTGTCCAGTCGGCGAGGTCGCCAAGTCGCCGTTGCGCGATTCAATTTCTTTTAGTCCTAGCGAGCGGGCTATCTTCATGAATGAGCTCCGCCGGCTCCCCGTCAAGTCTGCCCTAGCTCTCTTCATGTTTGCCTTCCGCTCTTCCCTCGCCACCCTCCTCCGTAATCTGTAAATGCTGACCTGACTGCCAAGGAGCTCCGCCCAAGGATCTGCGATAGTCTCTTCTCGCTCACGAGACTGTTCTCCGCGTTGTTGCCCGCGAACCCGTTCTCTGGCGACGAGATAGTACACGAGACCGCGTGTCTCTCGAACGAACGAGGCACTGCGTACAGGACATCCTGAACCCTACTCGCAAGGGGAGGTCACATCTCCCCTCTTCCAGATCCTATCTCCAGATGGAGATAGGACCTTGCGTCTCGGAGATCAGATCATTTGATCGCTCGAATTCGGGCCCGAAACAGATTATGATGTTCATATGAAGCGGGATCTCGGAACGTCTCGTCATAAAATCACGCTCCCGGTATGTTGCAAGAGGTCCCCATGTGATATTTACCGAAGAAAAAATATATTATTCGCGAAATTGATTCAGACACCCTCGACTTTCCGGAAGCGTGGATAGGCACTCGGAGAAGCTCCCAGGCCAGGAGAGGTCGGTTCCCCCCTCCAAGCTTGACTCTCATAAATGATTTATTCAAGTGCCTACAAGCCTCCCAATGAAGAGGCGATCCTTAGAGATGACATATGTAGTTGTACTCAAGCCGTTCTATGCAGCCGGTCCTCACGTTGACTTCCTCGGCTTCGGGATAGGGAGGGAAATCATTTCATTTCATTTCAGATGTCGCCCAGGAGACCTTCCCTCCCTTGCTGTATTCTCGGAGGGCCGGGCTCGGCTGGGCTGAGACTTGACGCTCACCGAAGCCAGAAAGTGTCTCACAGATACTCCAGATCTGTACAGGGAGGCGATCAATATCGGATTCGATTGCGCCAGGTGGAAGCGAGATTCCCTCTCCACTCGAATTCAGATGGAGGATTGCTCTCATGACTGGAGACAGTCCTGGGAGCGCAACAAGAACCTAATGGAAAAATCCCTCCTCCTGACTCTACAGACCACTTCCTGTCATCTTCAGGGTAGATGAGTTTCGCGGTCCAGTCTTCTAGCTTGTATTTATTAGGGGCCCCCATCGTCCTCATCTGTTCGGAGTTTTGTCTGCCGCCACCCAGTCCCTGATAATGAATCAGACACGAGGGAGGAAGAATGCACTGTAAAGTACAGCTGGACGTAGCGCTGAAGGATCCACGAGGTTCATACGCGAGACCCGATCCCGGTCCCCCGTGCCGGCCGGCTGTCGGTAGCTGGCGCGAACACGAATGGTAGCAGGTGGATCTCCCGCATGAGCCCCACCCTGAAAGCCGCTGTGAATTGCGCAGTTCATATTATTCTTCGGGAAAGTTTAGCAGTATCGAGTCGGGCTATGAATTCCGGATCACGAGGCTGCGCACGGTTCTCCGCCGGAGCATCGGAAGAGAGATCCTATCAATACGTTCGGGAATGGATATCGGGAGACGGTTCTTGCTGTATCTGCGGAGCAATATCGCATTCGCTCCTGGAACA